AATAAAACCACTAAAAATTCACACAAACATTCCCAGTTTTCCTTATAAAAATCACAAGGAATACCATCAATCCCCGGCGATTTTCCCACACTCATACCCTCCACTGCCATTCTAATCTCCTCCTCGCTTATAGGTCCACTCAGATTCAACCGATCCTTATGCTCTAGATTATAACATACCCATTCACCCATTTCCCCTAGCACCTCATCAATAACCCCCACTCTTTTGCCATGCATCTCGTACCATGCATCCACATAGCAACCCATACCCTCTGTTGATATGAGCACCTGCCCCTGACGATACCCCTCCATTTGCTCCTGGACACTCAAGCTCATTATTTCCGTTGCCCTGCGACGTTTTCCTTGCTCTCTCAAGACATATGCTGAAGGACAGTTGCCCCATAAAACCTCATCGATTCCTCCCGCATTTCGTGCCGCATCAAATTCACGATTTTGAATGCCCCTAATCAGTTGTTTTAAACCCTCAATCTCAACCACCGGATACTCACCCCCCCTCCCACATAGCATTCCTGCAGTTGACCTTCAAGGCAATGTAAAACACCATATTGATATCTCCGCTCTTCCTTTCCCCGCTTCTGATAAAAATCCCTCACCTTCCTCTTACCGACCGTGTCCCACCACTCATGGATGTCTACCCCCCCCCAAGCATCTGCCCACCATCTCCCCCAAGCACTCTCAAAAGATTCCCTCCTATCCCCTTTGCGCAATAACCCAACATTCAACTTCCAGTAACCCCTGAAACGCTTTGGCAATCCCTCCCAATCCAAGTCTACCAGAACCCCTCTATGATCAGAGAAGCTCACATTCAATGCACAAACGCTGCTTACCCTCACCCCCCGAGAAACATAGATTTGATCCAGCCTCGCCGCATAATCGTGCCTAATGAACATATGCATGACCCCACCCACCTCCTCCCCTCCCACGTCCACTACATTCACACCTCGCAACAGATCCCCTAAATACCCCGAGAAAAAACCCCTTCCTCTAGGTTCGACGTCCTTAGGGAGAACAATACAGTTCCAATCACCTCCTAGAATCGTTACGACTGGCAGTGATCTTAAATGGTAAACAAGGACATCCCTAAAGAACCTATTTTTGATGCCCATGTCTCCTTCCACAGGCCCATACACCCCTATGAAACCCACTTGAACCCCACCCCATGCACCATCCACCCGAACCACCCGCCCCTCCTCCCCCACCTCACATCTTTGCAGAGAAAACGGGCTAGCTTCTTTAATTAACAATGCCACACCACCTTTCAATCATGCAGAACAACCCATGTACACATCGTATCCATCAATCATTAACTCTCCCAATGATTTATAATTGTGTTCTTGCAGGAACACGAGGTCAGGTACATATCTCTTTAAAAAATACCTCCAGACTCTTACATTTATCTACTGACGTCAACCCGTTAATATTTAAAGTAATGCACTTGAAGGATTTAATAGAGGCTTGCCTTTAGACACCTTAATACTCTTAGATCCTAGATGAGCACCCCCCTCTCTCCCCCCACACCCCCCATGCCTTCCCCTTTCACATGCTCAACACTCTTTGTTCCACCTGTGCCCCTATGGGACACATTGTACCATGCTTTTTTCCCAGAAATTTGCCCAGGAGTCAAAACGTCATCACTATCGGTTATCACAGCAGCTCTCTTGCGAGAGCTACGATCTGCAACCATATCCTCCTCTAGAGTGGTATCCCTGTGGACGTCCACTACTACAACCTGCTCTGCTTCCACACCACATGCGACCTGCACGTTGGGGCCTCCTGCCGTTGCCTCTACACCCTCATTTTCCAGCCCAGCATGGGTCATCACAGACGCCGAAACGTCCAGCAATTCATGCAGAGCCTCCTGAATGGATGCCTCCATTACATCCTGAGCAATTGCAAAATCCTCCTCACCCATCGCCGACACCAAGCCTACATCCTCTCCAACTCCAGGTAGGGTCACACATGTAGAAGACAACTCTGTCTCCCTCTCTACCTCCTCACTCCACGTCTCCCGTGCCAGAGACTCATGCTGCATTGCCATAGCATATGCTTGCTGCTTTGTTGCATCATCAGTCCTTGCATCATCCATTAATCTACCTCGTCGCATAGGACATTGCACCATGATGTGGTCATATATCCCACATAGTTGACACGTACGCCTCTGACCCGTGTACGTAACGAAGACTTGAGTACGGAAGTCCTTCATAACCACGTACGATAGTATAGGGTGCTTTAGGGACATTTTAAGGGAAAAAGACCCTTCCGGCATACCAACAAGCGGTCCATCACACCAACGTCCCAATGTCACCAAATGTATCGTACCATAACACCCAAAAACGTTCCTTAAATCACTCTCATCAGCTTCAAAAGGAACATTACGCACCTTGATCCAAGTGTAAAACCATGATACATCATGGAGGTGGACAGTAACACCAGGGTTAACCGGCTTAACCACATCCTGGTACCTGGCCACCATATTTTCATAGGTGCTGCTCTGCCGGAATTTGACAAAAAGCCTTGAACTACCATTCAACGACACGCCATAGAGTTCCTCATTTGCGATGCCATAAGTGTCTCTTAATATCGCCATCAGCAAAAGATGGATGTTCTGACTATTGAGCGATTCCTTCACAAGTTCAAGACAAACGGTGTTGACACGTCTACGTCCACCTTTCGCCATTATGAAAGTACTGAGGAAAACTGCCCAGAAAACCAGCTGATTCAGGAGCGACTGCGCAGCCTGTCCACACAGCCCGAGAGCGATGAGGACAATGATTTTGAAAGTTATTTCATCGAATCCTGCCACATGCAGTGGACAACGAAAGAAATTTGAACTGTGGTACATACAGAGTTAGCAGGTTTGAGTCCTGCTGTGGACATAAAGACAATGTTTATAAATAATTTTTGCCTGTTTGCGAACTGTTAGGCATATATATATATATATATATATATATATATATATATATATATATATATATATATATATATATATATATATAATATATATATATATATATATTTAAATATATATATATATAATATATATATATATATATATATATATATATATATATATAATATATATATATATATATATACATATACCATTTCTTTTTATTTTCTGATGCCCCTAACACACACCCACTTTATTTGTTAATTCCTTTTATTAAATTATTTTTTTATTATTATATTCCCCTCTGGCATGGGGGCCCGGGGCAGTTGCCCCCCTTATAAACCCGGCCCTGACCAATAGGTATATTTTATTACATAATTGATACACAAGACTTAAAAGATACATTTCTGGTATAAAGATGACATATACAGTACATAAGGTTTGAAGGATACATTTCAAGTATACATTGCTATGTATTTGTCACAGATTACAATGCAAAAATCTCATCCAGCTCCTCAGAGCTGGAGTGCCTGCCTACGCTACAGCAGCACTGAGTCCCTGGAATAGAAAACTAGTGCCCTGGGATCCCTAGTTACCCTGATGAGTCTTTTGCCTAGCTCCTTAAGGCAGTGGTTCCCAAACATTTTCAGCTTGTTACCCAATTTAACATGCCACATAAAGCATGTTACCCCTTTCACAAAATGTTGTTATTATTGATATATATGGCTAAACGTGAACGTATAGAGCCTCGCATACTCTGCTAATCCTAGCAAAACCATTGAAAACGTAAGAACCACACATACATTATATATAAAATTAATAATAGCTACAAATTCACAGTAACAGTGGGTAAATACTAACTATATACTGCACAGGGCAGTACACATACATTTCCAGCTTATGTCTACCTCGGCTGATGCTCACAGATAAACTGACAGTGTGAAATAGAGGCAGCCTCAGGAAGTGAGTGACGCGTACTGGACAGGTCGATCTGGGCTACTGAGTGACTTTTGTCCTGAAGCATACTTGTCAAAATACTTTTGGGTTTCCACACACTTAGCTATATATTTCTTCTTTTCTAATACTGTATATTAGTTTTTAATGTTTATTGTTATTTGGTTTAACTTTATTACTTACTTATAATAGGTTTACTTTACAACTTTATATACTAAGACAAAGTTAACAATAATCCTCATACTAGGTACCGCATTGTTTTCTTGATTTTCAGAATTCATAACTTTTTTTCTGTCACCCCTCCATTACCCCCCAAAAATGGTTAAATTACCCCCAGGGGGTAATTTACCCCCAGTTTGGGAACCACTGCCTTAAGGAACTTAGATGCACGCTTTTCTCGTGGACCAGGGGTTTCTGAGCATATGAGAACAAACATATAATGATGGGCAAGTTCAAGTTTCTGTCAAATGGAGACAGAAACTCAGAAAATTAAATAATGTATATAGATTTATCAATTTTCTGAGTTTCTGTCCCCATCTGGGTTATTACTGAGCAATGATAAATGTTCAATACATTACACTTAGTAATATATATATATATATATATATATATATATATATATATATATAATATATATATATATATATATATATATATATATGTATATATATATATAATATATATATATATATATATATATATATATATATATAATATATATATATTATATATAATATATATATATATATATATATATTAAATATATATATATATATATATATATATATATATTATTAGGTCGAGTGATGTAATTGATCATTACGTTAACAACTGATTTTGACATGTACCTGTATCAGAAAGTGTATTAATTAGAACACATAATCCAACCCTCCATCGTTTGCTTTAAATGCTTATTTATAGAATCCAACACCAAACTATATCCTTTGTAAAAGACTTACCTTTAAACATTAAACTCTTGTAAAAATAAATATGAGTATATATATAAATATTTTAAATGCGTAGCGTAGTTTAAAAAATATCACATTACATAAAATTTAAGTTTCTAAATTATTGTTGAATAGTTTAACGAAATTAGTTGAATATTTGTTAAAAGAATCAAGGCGCACTGAATGGTCCAAAATATTGGAGCTCGTCGGTGATGGAAACCATGACCCGGTACTGGAGAAAGTGCTATGGATTCCGACAATTTCTTCGAATTTGACGCTTCGATCCCGGTAAGGAAGCGCCAGAATAGTAATAAGATGCCGTTAAGTTATAGGGGTACGTATATAACCAGGTTTTATTAGATAATTATCGCTAAAATGGCGAGAAGTTCAGGGGGATAACTTAGCCATTAAGCTCTGGCTATGCCAAACATTGCACCTGCAATTGCACCACTTTTCTTCCCCTTTACTCTCTACCTTAGTACCTACTTTGTAGTAGCCAAAACAAGGGTGGATATAAAACATTGTGACGTAGATTGGGAGTGGGTGGAAGTGGGGGAAAAAAGCAATATAAATGTAATAATTTGAGGGAGTGACTGTGTCAAGGCTTCCCCGAGGCTGCCAAATCAACTTGACACCTCTGTTAGTGTTTAAGTTATAATTACACACACACACACACACAGGTAAGCGAACTTTATTTGGTTCAAAATATTTTTTTACAAATATTTTACATCGATCTCATTAAAATTTGATCTTATTTACAAAGGTTGCTTTTAAAGCTATTATTGGTGTACAATGTTGGCATCTAATAACAGAATAAAGCAAATATTATTTCGGTTATATAAGTAGGTGAGCCATATACAAAGTTTTATAATTATTTAACACTGGATATTCCTGTACTTGACAAGTATAGGTTCTTTATGAAGTAAGATCATTTGTTCACTGTACTTGTCTCCCAGGTTTTTTTTTTATTTAAATTCTCCAGTGTTAAGTGTGTTATGCAGTGGAGATGTATTTAATGATTGTGGGGGAAAAAGTTACACAAATTTTGAGTGATTACAAAAATCCCAGTGGAAATAAATCTGTCAGACTGATTTGGGTTATTCTGGGTAATTTACAGTATGCTAATGTTACTTATTTTGTAAGTAAGTTTATTCAGGGATACATAAATACAGTTACAGAGAATATAATCTATGTATGATAATTATTATACATAGCATCGTATGTGTAAAGAACCTGGGGTAACCCAAAAAGGTCAGTGACTTGTTTCCATCGAGGACCTTTTAATACCTTATTATTATTATACTGTAAAGAAGATATCTTCTAATAAATAAATTTACTTATTACCCATCTTAACCTAAGTGAGTTTTACAGCTGGTTTAGGTTAGGCTGGGTTGGTTTGTTATTAAATCTAGTTATCAAAATAAAGCTTCTTTTCTATTTCTTTAAAATACTCCATGTCACAGCCCACTTAATAAAAAAAGTATTTACGTAATAAATGATATTTTCTTCATTACTTGAATTCCACAACAAGCAACTATGTTTCTGTGTAGTAGACAATGTGGTTGTTATTTGTAATATAAAATTTTAACAGATTTCTATTCCATGAAAAATGTACATAATGACTATCTTTAAATTTCCCAAAAAGACACCTTAAATTTACTATAGCAATTAGGCTAATAGTAAGTAAGAAAGGAAGTTCATTTAGGTGCAATTTACACAAGTACAGTTACACAAATTTTGTGTGATTACAGTTGTATAATAATGTTTGTAAAATACTTGCAATCCCATTCATTGACAACTGGAACAACTTTTATGGCAAACATGATATGTATGCAAGGGATGGGGTACATCTCTCTGGGGCTGGGGTGGTAGCACTTGCAGACTCGATTGAGAAGGCCATTGGTGAAATGCCTATGATTTTAAACTGATGGAAGATAGAGGTATGGGTGTGTGTGGGAAACAAGCAGGTTGCAACACTTGGGTTGGAAACAGTAAATGTATAAAAGGCATTCAGCATGAAGTTATAAATAAAGACAATAGATCAGGTCAGCAAATAAAGGGGGACAGCAGAGGGCAGCAAGGGACTAGCTCCCTTAAGGTTTACTATACTAATAGCAGGATGTAAGAAATAAGATAGATGAGCTAAGATTAATTGCAAGTGCAGGAGACATAGATATTATTGCTATAACAGAGCCCGGGCTCAATCTGAAAGATAGAGAGATGCCCTCTGAATGTCACATACAAGGCTATAAATTATTCCACACTGACAGGTCAACAGGAAAGGTGGGGGAGTAGCGATGTATGTCGGAGACAATTTAAATTGTTGTGTTAGACAAAAATATTAAATAGAAGCGTCAGCCACTGAATCTGTTTGGTTACAGCTTCTCGGGGCCCGAGAAAAACTAATTTTGGTGTGATTTACAGGGCCCCCAAATCTTGATAGGGAGTGCAGTAAACTTCTATGGGACGAAATTCGTAAGGCATCTACATACGAAAATGTTGTGCTAATGGGAGATTTCAACTATAGACAGATTGACGGAGAAATTTTTGACAGGAAATTTTAGAGTCAGGTGACTTTCTTGATACGATCCAGGATTGTTTTTTAAAACAGTTTGTGACAGAGCCAACTAGGGGAAATAACCCCTTGACTTGGTTCTTGCCAGTAGGGAAACACTAATTAATAATCTTGAGGTTAATGATGAGCTTGGGAAAGTGATCACAAATCACTCAGTTTTTAATATATCATGGAATTCCCCTAATAATGGCAATCAAGTCTCCGTCCCCCGACTTTCGCTTGGGTGATTTCATAGGACTGAAAAATTACTTAGGTGGGCTGAACTGGAATGACCTGACTAAGGTCAGGTAGGTGGTGATGGTTGCCGAATGATGCTTTCCAGGCATAGTTCTAGCTGCTCAGTCAAAATTTTGTTCCAAATAGGGAAAACAGATCAAACAAAAATGATCCTAAATGGAAAGAACAATAGATTAAAATATCTGATTGGTCAAAAGAGAGGCATATATAGGCAAATCAAAAGAGGGGAGGGGCAATTGAGAAATCGATATATTCAGTTTTTAAAAAGAGAAATAAAAAAGGGAATTAAAAAGCAAAAAGAGATTATGAGGTTAAAGTTGCAAGAGAATCGAAGACTAACCCAAAAGGATTCTTTCAGGTTTAAAAGAAGTAAGATCAGGGACAAGATAGCCCACTCAAAAGGTTCCTCGGGTCAGCTCACTGACAGTGATAAGGAAATGTGTAAATTTTAACACATACTTTCCTCTCAGTTTTTACACAGGAGGATACCAGCATATTCCAGTAATGATAAATTATGTAGAACAGGACGATAAAAACTGTGTACTATTTGGGGCACAAGTGACATGGTCCTTAGGCAAATAGATAAATTAAAACCTAACAAATCCCCAGGCCCTGATGAACTGTATGCAAGGGTTCTAAAGGAATGTAAAGAGGAGCTTAGCACACCCTTTGGCTAATCTTTTCAACCTATCACTACAAACTGGCATGGTGCCAGATAAGTGGAAAAAGGCAAATGTGATACCTATTTTCAAAACAGGTGACAGGTCCTTAGCTCGAACTATAGACCAATAAGCCTAACCTCCATAGTGGGAAAATTTATGGAATCAATAATTGCCGAGGCAGTTCGTAGCCACCTTGAAAAGCATAAATTAATCAACGAATCTCAGCATGCTTTTACAAAGGGGCGTTCCTGCCTTAAAGAATTTATTAACTTTTTTCACTAAGGTATTTGAGGAGGTAGATCATGGTAATGAATATGAAAATTGTGTATATGGACTTCAGTAAGGCTTTTGACAGGGTCCCACATCAGAGACTATTGAGGAAAATTAAAGCACATGGAATAGGAGGAGAAATTTTTCCTGGATAGAGGCATGGTTGACAAATAGGCACAGAAGTTTGCATAAATGGGGAGAAATCAAGTGGGGAAGTGTCACGAGCGGTGTTCCACAGGGTCAGTAGTTGGGCCCCCCTGCGTTCACAATCTACATAAACGACATAGATGAGGGCATAAAGAGCGACATCGGCAAAATTTGCCGATGACAAACCCAAAAAAGGGCCCTCGAATTCATTCTGACGAGGACATTCGAGCACTCCAGGAAGATTTGAATAGACTGATGCAGTGGTCGGAGAAGTGGCAGATGCAGTTTAATATAGACAAATGAAAATTTTCAAAATGTTGGACGGGACAATAACCATGCCACATATAAACTAAATAATTAGATCTTAATTTTAAAGGATTGCGAAAAAGATTTAGGATTTTCTTTTAGCAGTAATCTGAAACCAAGACAACATGCATAAGTGTTCGCAATAAAGCTAAAGAATCCTTGCTTCATATCAAGAAGCAAAAAAAAAGAGTCCTCAGGTTTTTCTTCAACTCTATACACCCTTTGGGTTAGGCCTCATTTAGTTTATGCTGCACAGTTTTTTTGGTCACCTTTTTACAGAATGGATATAAATTCCTGGAAAATGTACAAAGGAGGATAACAAAGTTGACCCCATGTATCAAAACCTTCCCATGAGGATAGACAAGGGCCCTGAATCTGCACTCTCTAAAAACTAGAATTGGGGGGAATGTTTGGGGGTTAAAAGGAAGACGGGAATAAATAAAGGGGATGTAAAAGTGTGCTAAAAAAATCAGCCTAGACGGGACCGCAGCAAGGGTTTTTAAAGTTGGAAAAATTCGATTAGGAAGGATAAGGAAATAGGGTTTGGGTAATAATTGTGGATGAGGGGAACAAACTCCCAAGTAACCGTTTAAGAGGCCAAACGTTGTGTATTTTAAAAATGGGTGGAAAAATACTGAGTGGATGTGGGGGGTGTGAGTTTGACCCCGATGCTTTGCTACCCGGTCGGGTTTCCGTGTTTCCCCCCCTTAATCAATGTACCTGACCTACAGGTTGGGTGCATTTGGGTTAAGCCGGGAGGAACTTTGACCGCCTCGCATGGGGGCCCGTAGGCCTTCGCAGTGTTCCTTCTTTTTATGTTCTTATTTTTTTTACACAAAATTAAAATGAAGTGATTTTTTTTCTATTGCAGTCCTTTGTATATAAAATTTTGCAACCTAACTGTTTGATATAAAAGAATTTTTTATTTCAGCATTTTTTTTTTTTTTATTGAAAATCTTAAAAATACCAAAAACCCAAAAAATAAGGCAAAAATAACAAGTAAGATAATAAATAAGGGACACTTGCCCAACAATCCCTCAAAGGAAACATTTAAAACATGCAAAACCCCAAACAAAACTAGCTACCTTGAA